CCGCCGTTTAGCGAATGCTCCCCTCTCGCAATAGCATAGGCTGCATGCGTATCAGGTATAATCATGTGAACCGCAAGCCGGGGAACACTGAAAACTCACGAACGGGATCCGTACGGGCACTTCACTCCACGAGCTCCCGGCTCGCGGTTCACATGATTATACCTGATACGCATGCAGCCTATGCTATTGCGAGAGGGGAGCATTCGCTAAACGGCGGTTTGTACATTTAATGCTGAGGGTACAGCAACAGTGACATAGAATGCGTATAGAGTGTGGTGACTGTAATTCTAAAATATAAATAGTGACATAGAATGTGTATAGAGTGTGGAGACTGTATTTCTATAATATAAATAGTGACATAGAATGTGTATAGAGTGCGGTGACTGTAATTCTCTAATATTAATAGTGACATAGAATGCGTATAGAGTGTGGTGACTGTAATTCTAAAATATAAATAGTGACATAGAATGTGTATAGAGTGTGGAGACTGTATTTCTATAATATAAATAGTGACATAGAATGTGTATAGTGTGCGGTGACTGTAATTCTATAATATAAATAGTGACATAGAATGCCACCACCACACTCTATACGCATTCTATCCCACTATTTATATTCTAGAATTACAGTCACCGCACTCTATATGCATTATATGTCACTATTTATATTATAGAATTAGTCACCACACTCTATACACATTCTATGTCACTATTTATATTATAGAATTAGTCACCGCACTCTATACGCATGCTATGTCACTATTTATATTATAGAATTAGTCACCGCACTCCAATATATTATCTACCTTTAGACTTTAGAGGCAGGTTATTCTTCATATTTATGTGAACTACACTTCAATGTTGTCTTTGTTCTAAACTCTAATCCTAACTTTGGTTTCTAACTATCGCCCAATATCATTGCTGCCAGTATTATCAAAAATCTTAGAAAAATGCGTCCATCCACAACTTTGTGAGTACTACCAACAATCTATCTGACCCCTGATCAATCGGGTTTTCACCAGAATCACTCCACTACAACTGCCCTCTTAAAAGTTTGCAATGAAATCCAAACTGGCATGGAACAAGGAGACCTAACTGGAGCTATTTTCTTTGATTTTGCTAAGGCCTTTGACACAGTAGACCACGACATTCTACTGCACAAACTCAAAAACTCAGGTATTGGTGATCATTCTCTAAACTGGTTTCGATCGTATGTATCGGATCGCTCGCAATATGTGTCCATTTCTGACAATGACTCCCTCCCTCTCCCAGTCACGTGTGGTGTTCCCCAAGGTTCCATTCTCGGCCCCCTACTATTCACATTATTTATAAATGATCTGCCTAATGTCTGCCAATCCTCAAATGTACACATGTACGCAGACGACACAGTAATCTATGCGAGCAAATCCGATCCACCGCAGCTTGAGGCTGTGCTCCAAGACCAGTTTACAGAGGTAGAAAAGTGGATCGCAAAAAACAAACTCTTCCTGAACACTGACAAAACTGTCACAATGATATTTGGAACAGTACCTAAATTACACAAATTACACAATTCCCACCTATCCACCAAAACAAATTCAAATGGCACAATGACCGCAGTCCATTCTTTCAAATACTTGGGTATGTTGTTAGACCACAATCTATCTTTTGGCCTCCACAAAGAAAAACTTGCATTTAAACTTTATCCAAAACTAGGTGCCCTGTACAGAAACAAATCCTGCCTAAGCGCTACAGTAAAGGAAAAGATTGTACAGCAAATGCTGATGCCAATCATTGATTATGGGGATGTAGTATATGCACCAGCACCGCCATCCCACATTAGCATATTATTAGAGGTATAGTATTTATCTTTAGCATATAGAGGCAGGGGATACTTTATACCCGTATTAACTACACTTTAATGTTGCCTTTTTTCTAAACTTTAATTCTTACTCCAATACTACTTCCTGTTGTGTATTCAAACATTGCTTTCATACCAAATGCTACCTTCTAGCAATCTGTATACCTTCCTACAATCTAATGGGAGTTCTAAGTGGTATTTTCTACTTTCACTGACTGGGTTTGGTTACATCGCATTTTTGTACCATCTAATCCATTCTACTAGGTGACTACCACTTAGATACAGTGTGTGAGGTTTAGTTAAAAGAGGAGACTTACTCATATTCTCCCCTTCCTCCGTTTGTTCATAGTTTACTTCCAATATCGGAATACTCTCACAATTCAATAGGAATAATCTACCAAGCACGGTAGCTTTTTCACAGAATCCCTTCTGCAGAGCAGACTGTCTTTGGTGCGTTTTATTTCAATAATAAAGATTGCATTTTACCTTGATATAGTGGCTAACATTAATAGTAATCTCTTTGTTGGATCAGTCAGCGCACTCTATTTCCATTCTATTCTATTTTCTCTGTTATTACTTGATAGATTTTTGTAGTGCTAACATATTGCATTGCTTTAACATTAGATAAAGAGGATATTGCGATATACACACTCTCTGAGGGTTTCAGCTAGGTGTCTCGCTCGGGGACACTCACTGGATGGGGGCCAGTCTCCCTTGTTTGAATTATTGTTGTGGCTTGACTATTGGTGTGTACAATGATTGAATTAACTGAATATTTCTGATAATGTCCATCGCCCGGTAATCTGTACTCACTGCTGGCACCATAACTCTATATTGTACAATGACTCTCTTTGTTCTCTCTGATTGGATAATATTTTAGGAATTGGGGCTATTTACTAATTGTGAAAACTCTTTATTCCATATTAGAACTGCAGATATTTTATATTATTATTATTTTCACTGCTTTGATTGTCTATGGACATGTTCTACTTTAATTCCTTTAAATTGATATTAATAGACACAATCATTGAAACTGTGTCACTGTTCTGTTATTTAATCAATACTCTGTGTGTGTCCAGGGTTTATAGTTTGCAATGTTTGAAGTTCTAATCATTTTACTCTGTCTGGTCTTCATTTTAATATTTTTGGATAAACTTTAAAATGTTTTAATATGATGAATATTTTAAAAGTAACTGATATATTTTATATATTGATAGACATTTCTAAAATTTTAATATGTTAAATAAATAATGTTAGAAGTTTAATATAATATAATAAATCATTTGAAAAATGTTGCTAAAAATCTCAAATAGAGGCCTATATCCCTTGTAATTTTTAACCTTCTTAGTTAAAATGTATGTGGTTATAATCACTATACATCATTTTAAGTATATACTATACACAACCAAACGGAATGCTTGGTTGTATAGGGAGAGTTATTAGCAGTAGAAAGAGGGAAGTGCTCATGCCATTATACAGAACACTGGTGAGACCTCACTTGGAGTATTGTACACAGTACTGGAGACCGTATCTTCAGAAGGATATTGATACCTTAGAGAGGGTTCAGAGAAGGGCTACTAAACTGGTTCATGGATTGCGGGATAAAACTTACCAGGAAAGGTTAAAGGATCTTAACATGTATAGCTTGGAGGAAAGACGAGACAGGGGGGATATGATAGAAACATTTAAATATATAAAGGGAATCAACACAGTAAAGGAGGAGACTATATTTAAAAGAAGAAAAACTACCACAACAAGAGGACATAGTCTTAAATTAGAGGGACAAAGGTTTAAAAATAATATCAGGAAGTATTACTTTACTGAGAGGGTAGTGGATGCATGGAATAGCCTTCCAGCTGAAGTGGTAGAGGTTAACACAGTAAAGGAGTTTAAGCATGAGTAGGATAGGCATAAGGCTATCCTAACTATAAGATAAGGCCAGGGACTAATGAACGTATTTTAGCAAAATTAGGCAGACTAGATGGGCCGAATGGTTCTTATCTGCCGTCACATTCTATGTTTCTATGTTTCTATGTTTCTGTGTTTCTGTGTTTCTGTGTTTCTATGTTTCTATGTTTCTATGTTTCTAGGTTTCTATGTTTCTGTGTTTCTGTGTTTCTATGTTTCTATGTTTCTATGTTTCTATGTTAACATAATGTGTGCGATTTATAATTATTCTTTATGACTTTCACTTTTATCATGCTATGTATTTTTGCAATAACTAGGTTATATCTGTTTTATATACATGATTTAACACATTGCGTGTCTTTTAATAATTAGAAGATATATTATTTATTAAAAACATTCTTTAATTGGTGTGTTTATAATACTTACAACTATTATTTATTATAAACATTCAATATGCTATTTGTTTTATAATAATTCTATGCTGTAGTGTCACATATCAATTGTTTTATATACAGTAATATATACATTATAAACCCATTGATTTTTACTTGTGTGCTGTATTCTTATATACATTTTCATCATATTCTATATTATTTATTTTATGTTCTATAATTTAATAAATACTTTATTTAACATACTGTGTGCTTTGAGAACAATTATACAATATATACTTACACTTGTATCATTCTGTGTTAAATACTTGTATACTGTTATGTATTATATACCTTTTTTTAATCTTTTTTTTGTTTTATAAGTAAATACTAAATTCTTTATTTTACACATTATTTAACATACTGTGTTTGTTTCATAATAGTTAAATGCTATAATATTTACCATGAACATGATTTCATGTCTTTTTATAATACTCATATACTATATTATCTCTTTTTAATTTTTTTCCACATATTGTGTTTTTATAATACTTATATATAATATATAAAACATTGTTATAAACATTATTTAATATACTGTATGTTTATATAATACTCTCATATAGTATTCGATTAATTAGATCGCATACTGTGTTTTTAATAATTATACACTATTATATTTATATACATTATTAAACACACTCTATGTTTAAAAATATATACTGTTATTTATTCTATACATTAACATACCATGTTTTAGATAATTATTGTATACAAAGTTTAACATACTGTGTGTTTTATAATTGTATACTGTAATATATTTAACACACTGAATTGTTTAAAATAATTATATACTTTAATAATGATGTACTTGAACACACTGTTTTATAATAATTAGATATCTTGTTTAACACACTACATTTTATAATACTTATATACATGAACACACTGTATGTTTTTATAATAATTAGATACATTTAACACACTGTAGGTTTAATAATATTTATATATATTAACACACTGTATGTTTTTATAATAATTAGATACATTTAACACACTGTATGTTTTTATAATAATTAGATACATTTAACACACTGTATGTTTTTATAATAATTATACACTGCAATGTTTACTGTATCGCATTGTAGTGACAGGCAGATACTGATACATTTCAGTAGACTACAGTTATAAAATATTATACTATATCATGGAATAATTAATTGTGAGAGGTATATATACAGGGAGGGAAGGGTTAATATACCAGTTAGCGCTATATTATACTATATCATGTAATAATTAATTGTGAGAGGTGTATATACAGGGAGGGAAGGGTTAATATACCAGCTTAGCGCTATATTATACTATATCATGGAATAATTAATTGTGAGAGGTGTATATACAGGGAGGGAAGGGTTAATATACCAGTTAGCGCTATATTATACTATATCATGTAATAATTAATTGTGAGAGGTGTAAATACAGGGAGGGAAGGGTTAATATACCAGTTTAGCGCTATATTATACTATATCATGGAATAATTAATTGTGAGAGGTGTATATACAGGGAGGGAAGGGTTAATATACCAGTTTAGCGCTATATTATACTATATCATGTAATAATTAATTGTGAGAGGTGTAAATACAGGGAGGGAAGGGTTAATATACCAGCTTAGCGCTATATTATACTATATCATGGAATAATTAATTGTGAGAGGTGTATATACAGGGAGGGAAGGGTTAATATACCAGCTTAGAGCTATATTATACCATATCATGGAATAATTAATTGTGAGAGGTGTACATACAGGGAGGGAAGGGTTAATATACCAGTTTAGCGCAGATTACACTATATCATGTAATAATTAATTGTGAGAGGTGTAAATACAGGGAGGGAAGGGTTAATATACCATCTTAGCGCTATATTATACTATATCATGGAATAATTAATTGTGAGAGGTGTATATACAGGGAGGGAAGGGTTAATATACCAGTTAGCGCTATATTATACTATATCATGTAATAATTAATTGTGAGAGGTGTATATACAGGGAGGGAAGGGTTAATATACCAGCTTAGCGCTATATTATACTATATCATGGAATAATTAATTGTGAGAGGTGTATATACAGGGAGGGAAGGGTTAATATACCAGTTAGCGCTATATTATACTATATCATGTAATAATTAATTGTGAGAGGTGTAAATACAGGGAGGGAAGGGTTAATATACCAGTTTAGCGCTATATTATACTATATCATGGAATAATTAATTGTGAGAGGTGTATATACAGGGAGGGAAGGGTTAATATACCAGTTTAGCGCTATATTATACTATATCATGTAATAATTAATTGTGAGAGGTGTAAATACAGGGAGGGAAGGGTTAATATACCATCTTAGCGCTATATTATACTATATCATGGAATAATTAATTGTGAGAGGTGTATATACAGGGAGGGAAGGGTTAATATACCAGCTTAGAGCTATATTATACTATATCATGGAATAATTAATTGTGAGAGGTGTATATACAGGGAGGGAAGGGTTAATATACCAGTTTAGCGCAGATTACACTATATCATGTAATAATTAATTGTGAGAGGTGTAAATACAGGGAGGGAAGGGTTAATATACCAGCTTAGCGCTATATTATACTATATCATGGAATAATTAATTGTGAGAGGTGTATATACAGGGAGGGAAGGGTTAATATACCAGCTTAGCGCTATATTATACTATATCATGGAATAATTAATTGTGAGAGGTGTATATACAGGGAGGGAAGGGTTAATATACCAGTTAGCGCTATATTATACTATATCATGTAATAATTAATTGTGAGAGGTGTAAATACAGGGAGGGAAGAGTTAATATACCAGTTTAGCGCTATATTATACTATATCATGTAATAATTAATTGTGAGAGGTGTATATACAGGGAGGGAAGGGTTAATATACCAGTTTAGCGCTATATTATACTATATCATGTAATAATTAATTGTGAGAGGTGTAAATACAGGGAGGGAAGGGTTAATATACCAGCTTAGCGCTATATTATACTATATCATGGAATAATTAATTGTGAGAGGTGTATATACAGGGAGGGAAGGGTTAATATACCAGCTTAGAGCTATATTATACTATATCATGGAATAATTAATTGTGAGAGGTGTATATACAGGGAGGGAAGGGTTAATATACCAGTTTAGCGCAGATTACACTATATCATGTAATAATTAATTGTGAGAGGTGTAAATACAGGGAGGGAAGGGTTAATATACCAGTTTAGCGCTATATTATACTATATCATGTAATAATTAATTGTGAGAGGTGTAAATACAGGGAGGGAAGGGTTAATATACCACCTTAGCGCTATATTATACTATATCATGGAATAATTAATTGTGAGAGGTGTATATACAGGGAGGGAAGGGTTAATATACCAGTTTAGCGCAGATTACACTATATCATGGAATAATTAATTGTGAGAGGTGTATATACAGGGAGGGAAGGGTTAATATACCAGCTTAGCGCTATATTATACTATATCATGGAATAATTAATTGTGAGAGGTGTATATACAGGGAGGGAAGGGTTAATATACCAGCTTAGCGCTATATTATACTATATCATGGAATAATTCATTGTGAGAGGTGTATATACAGGGAGGGAAGGGTTAATATACCAGCTTAGCGCTATATTATACTATATCATGGAATAATTCATTGTGAGAGGTGTATATACAGGGAGGGAAGGGTTAATATACCAGCTTAGCGCTATATTACACTATATCATGGAATAATTCATTGTGAGAGGTGTATATACAGGGAGGGAAGGGTTAATATACCACCTTAGCGCTATATTATACTATATCGTGTAATAATTAATTGTGAGAGGTGTATATACAGGGAGGGAAGGGTTAATATACCAGCTTAGCGCTATATTACACTATATCATGGAATAATTAATTGTGAGAGGTGTATATACAGGGAGGGAAGGGTTAATATACCAGCTTAGCGCTATATTACACTATATCATGGAATAATTAATTGTGAGAGGTGTATATACAGGGAGGGAAGGGTTACTATACCAGCTTAGCGCTATATTATACTATATCATGTAATAATTAATTGTGAGAGGTGTATATACAGGGAGGGAAGGGTTAATATACCAGCTTAGCACTATATTATACTATATCATGGAATAATTAATTGTGAGAGGTGTATATACAGGGAGGGAAGGGTTAATATACCAGCTTAGCGCTATATTATACTATATCATGTAATAATTAATTGTGAGAGGTGTATATACAGGGAGGGAAGGGTTAATATACCAGCTTAGCGCTATATTA